GTGACCACCCGGGTTCTTAACAGCAATTTCTTACCACATCTACAAACGTGTCCCAAAACCCAACCGTAAATTCCCACAGGATGATGTATTTCCTAAAAACCTTCTAAAGTAGCTAATATGGTAATAGTTTCCCCGCATAAGTTCAATAAAAAAAATATATACGAGTAAGTATAATTGGAGTAATAGATCCGTTGCGATCGCAGCATAAGCGATTCGTAGTGAAATGGTAAAATTCTACTATTATACAACACATGACCGCCTCCCCAAAACAATTATAATTAATATTTTTTATTGTTTTGTCGCTTATAAAATCAAAAAATTATAGTATTATGTGCTGTGTCACATTTATCAGTGTATCAGTTATTTTTTACTTTTACCCCTACCCCTAAYCATATTTCTGCTGGMGCCCTTGCGAACAGTATTCAAAAATACGGTTTCATGAAAGTAATARAATGATGTGATACAATTATTCAAACATGAATACCGTTCGATTACTTTCAAGAACAAACATCCCAGGCATTTTATCGCATTTGAAATATTTACATTACCAGAACGAAAATAATTTTCATATTCGAATTATAATATTTGAATGTTACTGCATGTTTTTTTTTGTGTTASAAACAAAATAATAATCAAACCCTARCTATTATATTAATAATATTTAAAAACTCAATAATTCATCATACCCGTCGTGTCCGAAAAGTGATTGACTTCCGGATGGTTTGTCTGCGTGATGTTGGCCACCAAGTTCCGGTGCGACAGCGAAACGCCTTTGGACAGACCGGTCGTGCCGCTCGAGTACGGCATGAACGCCACGTCGCTGTTCGATCGGCTCTTTTTCAGAACAGAAGTGTCCACCATCGGATCGAGCATCTCGTCAAAGTCCCAAGCGCCACTGTGTCTCGGGCCATTGCCGTTCACAGATATGACRTACAGAGGTCTCACACCAGGTCCGTCCATCAGCTTTTGTGCTTCGAAAACTTTGGGCAACAACTCGGGAATCGTCACCACCCCGACTGCACCGGCGTCTTTAAACTGGTGAGCGATTTCGACTGAAAAAATAAATAAATAACGGTTGCTTTAGCACAAACTTAATATTATGTGACTTGCGGAAATTTCGAATTTAGAAAAACGCCACATTCAACAATATTATTATAGTCACGTTCCATGAGACTTATGATATTTCTTCTTACCGATTTTCCAAATATACAAACGATATTATTGCTACAATTCTGTAGTAAAATCCTAACCTAGCAATAATCAAAGTTATATAACATTAATTGTACGAAACATTTATMAACATTTTAAATTTTATTTAAACAAAGGTTTTATAGCAAACCTGAATATTTTATTACAGTTCTAATCAAATCATTTTTTTTTTTTTTAAATTTCCGTACGACGGTATGTCTAAATATAATACTATAAGTAAGTATTTTGTTGAATACGAATTTATTTTATTGATTAAAATATAATACCCCGTAACCAGTTTCTTCTAATTTAAAAGTCAAAAAATGTTACCTGATCGCGTAAATATTATTATATCGCCTATTATTTTTATCATCGTTTGCACCACATAACATATTATATTATCACGTTCCACATAACTTGTGTGGGYCAATATCGACATATTCTACGCATCCAAAATTTCAGATATTTTGTATGCATTTATGTTTACCGTTCGTTAAATTCCGGTCGRCTACCGATGTCGTTATACTACCACCGGTTGACTCGCATGTGGTTCGTAATGGTTTTTTGATTACATACCTGAGAGCGATTTCCTTCCCCTCTATATTTTTTTCCAACCACTGTTGTATAATAATTATTTTGCAATCGATTTTGCCGTTTCGGTATTTTGGGGATTTAAATATACCTACACAACTTTTGTTTTTTTTTTTTTACATCTAGTAGAGTGGTTTTTCAAAATGCTGAAATAAATAATAAAACTGTTGGATGAACACTAACGCCCAAAAAAATGTAAGAAAACGTGAACAATTTCAAACCTAAGACGTATCATCCTCTCGGGAAATATCTATTTATACTCTATATACTTGGGTTTTGGTTTTTTTTTTTTCAGAAAGTATCGATAGTCGATACTAATATCGTGAGGTAACTGTGGTCTTTGAGATTGTCCCTATAACTTTTTAACCAAATAAACCAATCCTGGATCAGTAAATCTTCAAAAATCATAGAAATTTATACACGCTACAAAGATAACCTTTCAGGTAAATCAACTGAAATRAAATTCACTGGAACAAAATATAATGAGCCACGTGAAATAAAACTACCACAAATATAATAATCAGTGTCTGAAGAACGTCTAGATTTCAATATAGTATATAACATAGTGTCATTCTATGTACATTAAATCACGAAATTAGTGATAACTTTGTAAAAACTTCACGGAATCAACTACTATTATTTTAAATATAGCGAGTTAGTTATAGCTTATACATTTACGTAYCTACCATATATTATGTTGTATTATTATTTTTGTGTCTTACAAGACTTACTTATCATTATTTATTACATGGAATCGTAGACATTCGCTTTCCCGCTGAGTAGAGAATCTCATCCATCGAACGCACTCCTAAATCAATATTTAACAAAAATCTACCCAAAAGAATTCAATTTATTGTATATTGGACCACCCACTATTCCGAAACCACTTGAAATTGCCCTCATACATAATCAAACGCTTAATTCCACCTTAACCAACCTACGTATACTCAGATGCAACTTTTGYTTGTTCTCTACATAGCGTTTTTACCTACTATTGTAGAATCATTTTCTCCAATATCTCACGAGACTTTCTTTTACTACAAGTTTCAATAATAAAATTTCGATAACACGGCGTATTGAATAGGTAATTTCGTTGCACGTCCCTCGATGGTTCGGTTTTCCTATGTTTTATGTAGGAATATTTTACGAACGACTGCAATACGCCAACACATTTCTTAATAATAACAAAACAAACAAAATAGACGCAACAAAAATGCAAAAGGCTACGGACAGTATGAGTATCATGACGTTACATTTTAAGTGTGTCACAGCTAACGACTTTATCCATGTTATCAATGCAGTTATTTGCGTATTAATGTAATGTACAAGAAAACCAGTACAATTTTTAATTTTACAATATAATATTGTGTGATTGTTTAAACTGGCGAACAGAACTATCGAAAATATTAATTCATTATATTATTTATCTATCTTGAAAATTGTACGTTCATAATATGGCGTTGAAAGATCTTTTCTCTAACCATTAGTCTAACCAAAACACTAAATTATATATAACCTACATAATTTCATAAAAGAACAACATGAATCAATAAAAAATGTTTATAGTGCTGATGAAATTCACTTGTAATTTGTAAGCTCCTTCCTAACAATAAGTGTATTTTTATTAATTTAATTGTAGATTTTTAAGTTAATACATTTTTCTACGAAGTCAATTCATAAACTCAATAAAGTTAGGCGAACTCTTGAATTGAAATACTTAAAATCTAAATTATAAGGCAATCAAGAAGTAAAAAAAGGCACAAATCACAAATCAAAGTACATATACTCTGTAAACAGAATTGAACAGTAAATACATTTAAGTTGTTGACGATTATTAAAGGTTGTAGGTTTATAATCTAATGAGTAATGAGGTTCACCTCTATCAAGAGAATCGATCTATACACGTATAATAAAATTAATTATCGTTAAAAATATCCTGCTGTATTTAAATATCTGATTCAAAAAAGCAATGGGTACAACGAAAATCCAATTAAAAGATATAGAAAAAATAGAAAAAATAGCCTGTTTTAAGAATAAATACATAATAATTAAGTTATTTGAGTATGATTTCTTTATRTATAAAATAATATATTAATATTACAAAAAATAAAAAACTATTTTGGACTTCACTATATTATTATAATTTAATGATTTATTATTGGCACTTGATAATCATTTATAAATGAAATATTTTTTTTATATGTTTTAAACTTGAATAATTTAATTGGTTTTTCATAATTTATAAAAAACTAGCTATCCAACTATATGGATGTTACCCGTACCAAATATTTGTATTTTAAATAAATTTATTTATAAGGAAAATGTATTTGCCATATTTTTTCTAACTATTATAGTAATGTAATAAGTTAATATTAAATCACCAATAAAACCAACCATTTATAACAACAAAAAAATTTTTTTTTTATCATAAGTTGAAAATAATTATTAGTGAGCAACTCTTTAGCTACCTACCGAATTGATCAAGTATACTATAAGCACCCTCCAAGTCTCTGGGCTTAATTCACCAAACATGCTCACCTTTTTTTTTTCTTTAATAAAACAGTTATTCAAAATCAGATTTTTGAAGTCCTTAAGTATATTCGAAGACCATATTTCAAATTTTTGAGATTTTTTGTGCCTCTTAAGGAGTGTCCTGTGGCGATACAAAATTTGGTTTTTCAAATGAGAACCCTCCTTTTTTACTGTTAATTATTTAGTGGACAATTTTTTTGAGAATTTTAATGTATTGAAATCAAATTTCTAATGAGTAGTTTTTGAGTTATTTAACTTTGTATTCCAAGTATAAAAGGTCCCTGGTTTAAGTTTAGAAGATATGTGGTTTATGATGGATTTGAAAATATTGGTCATCGATATTAATCTATCAACATTCAATATAAATAATTTTTAAAAACGACTTAAATATCATAAATACTATTTCCCAATAGTAAGTGTATTTACACTTTTTTTTTTTATACTTTCTTAAAATGATTTTTAAGGAATATTATCCTTAGTAAAAACAATTTAATAACTAAGAAGCTACTTATTCAAATTTTTGAGATACATCAAAATTTAAAAAAAAAAAAATTATCTACTAAATAAATTCGGTTTAACCGTTTAAAAAGTGTTAATTTGGGTACAGACGTAAAGAAGAATTTTATTTATATTTCATGTAATATATCATTATTGATATTTAATCGTAATATTAAAATTAATATACAGTAAAACCTCTCTATAACGACTCTATTAAACGGAACCCTCCTCATAACGGAAAATGTCAATAGTCCTGTTGCAAATAATATATGAAATTTCTACTTCTCTGTGACGGAAAACTGTTATCATAACGGAAAAACGTTTGTTCCTAAGCTATTCAGTTATGGAGAAGTTTTACTGTATATTATATTACATAAAATATTATCAGAMAATTTAAAATTTAGAGAATTTGACTTACGCGTGTTGGGATTTTTTTACCATGTAATTTTTAGCCGTGGGATATTTTAGTACAGCATATATTTTTGTCATTCCATAAATTTCTCCCTATACCGATAACATTATTTATTTTCCGTCTACATAGATGGTTTTTTTTAAAGGTATATAATATTATATTATGTAATTAAGAAACCGTTGCGCACATGGTGTATAGACAGGATTCATCGTGGTTACGACCAGACCGGCTTCAATGGCACCCAACGCGGCCACAGCAAACTCAGGAACGTTTGGCAACAGTAAGGCCAACACTTGGCCCGTCGTTGAGCCTCTCTTCTTYAGGTTGGCCGCAAACCTCTTGCACGCCAATCTCGTCTCGTGGTAAGTCAATTTTCTGTTGGTCATACCGCAAACCTATGTTTCGGACAAAAACAACAACAGTCAAATTAAACGGACGAGAAAAATATGTTAGGTCAACGAGGGGAAAAAAATAATAAGTTAAACGTGTGCACAAAATATAAGGTCTCTCCGAAATTTCGAAATGTTTTTCCTTCAATAATAATATTGTATTATATTATTATCCGCGTAGTTTTATGATAAAATTACACGTCAACGCTCGCATAATGATATGCGTAAAATGAATATGTTAATTATAAATAAATCGAATTTCACCAGTTATTTGTTTATAAAAAAAAACTGCATTTAAATGCGAAGGAAAAAAATATCAGTYCAGTACACACAATTTTAATTAAAAAAGTATGTACTAAAATAACAAGGCTTTCCAAATAATTGCTCCAACAATTGCAAAAAAACATTTAAATTATACCTACCCATAGTTTTAATGAAACATATGTATATAGCAATAAATCCAAGTGCCACTGTAAGTCCTCTTGATAAAAAAAATTTTAAAACAAGCTACAATATTTCTACCGTCTAACAATAATTATTAACAACTAGGTAGGTAACTTAATATAATTTTATGATGATATTTTGAATATTTGAAAAAATAACTAAATTATAGGTAACGATTAATGTTTTTTTAAATTTTAAATTTTCACGAAAAAAAAATTTATACTTGACGTTTCAGCTGTCAGATTTTTTTCTTATCGTTACGNAGGTTGGCCGCAAACCTCTTGCACGCCAATCTCGTCTCGTGGTAAGTCAATTTTCTGTTGGTCATACCGCAAACCTATGTTTCGGACAAAAACAACAACAGTCAAATTAAACGGACGAGAAAAATATGTTAGGTCAACGAGGGGAAAAAAATAATAAGTTAAACGTGTGCACAAAATATAAGGTCTCTCCGAAATTTCGAAATGTTTTTCCTTCAATAATAATATTGTATTATATTATTATCCGCGTAGTTTTATGATAAAATTACACGTCAACGCTCGCATAATGATATGCGTAAAATGAATATGTTAATTATAAATAAATCGAATTTCACCAGTTATTTGTTTATAAAAAAAAACTGCATTTAAATGCGAAGGAAAAAAATATCAGTYCAGTACACACAATTTTAATTAAAAAAGTATGTACTAAAATAACAAGGCTTTCCAAATAATTGCTCCAACAATTGCAAAAAAACATTTAAATTATACCTACCCATAGTTTTAATGAAACATATGTATATAGCAATAAATCCAAGTGCCACTGTAAGTCGTCTTGATAAAAAAAAATTTAAAACAAGCTACAATATTTCTACCGTATAACAATAATTATTAACAACTAGGTAGGTAACTTAATATAATTTTATGATGATATTTTGAATATTTGAAAAAATAACTAAATTATAGGTAACGATTAATGTTTTTTTAAATTTTAAATTTTCACGAAAAAAAAATTTATACTTGACGTTTCAGCTGTCAGATTTTTTTCTTATCGTTACGATTCAATACTCGCAAGTACTATTATTACTATTACTACTACAGTACTACCATAGTATTATCATGTGTGGTGAAACATTTGGCAATCTCAATTAAACTAGAAAAATATTATATTGTATTTAATTCCATTTTATTAAAATTATTTAGTCAAACATTTGTTTGATCATTTGATTTGTAGGTATTTAAATTAGTTCAAATTAAAAATAAGTTGACATCAACCACGCGTGTTTCACGAATATATAATTTTTCAGTATATTATTGTATATTTTGCATCTTTGCTATGATATATTATTCAGTTATTGTTAAAAAAAAATATGCTTACAACTCGTTGAACATATATTATCGAATTAAAAACCAATGGTTAAATTTATTCACAATTTTAAATTTAACTTGAAAAAAATTTGTACYTGGTATTCGTTCATCCAGAATAATGTTGGAATGTTTATAAACATTTCACATCACAATAGATACATTTTTGYGTATCTGCTCTTGTATGATTCTATTTCCTTGATGAATTGGCGAATGCGTTTTCAACAACTCATTTCAAAAGCTTAATTTTTAATTTTTAGTTTTTACAAATAGTTACCTGCCCTTTTCACATTTCCTCGTTATCAACGCTTAGTGTTGGCTTTAGTCGGCGTAAAATATAATATTATAATAATCGTATTAATTCGTACACACAATAATAATTACAAAATAAAAACATTTTTAACAAGGTCGGAAAAATATGCACACGCAATATTTAAGAGGCTGTCATATTAAAAAAAATATATACGTACATATTATAATAATAATATTAACTTTAATATAGAATATATTTTAATGATATACTCACTGCACTTGCCTACATATTTTCACATCGGTTGTTTTATTTAAGCGAAATGAGGACATTTCGTTCGTTTGATAAAAAGTAGTTTGTAATTATTATGTAGGTACACGCGAGTGTGTAATCGTGCATACACTGCTGCACTGRCGTGCATAATACAGTATAATATTATAACATGTACGAGTAACTTCACTGATCCATTTTAGTTAAGTTTTTGCATATTGTTTAGACGTCCGTACGATGTACCCTCACAATTAATATTCATATACACATCCATACGATATCATTAAAAAATCATCAAGATCATTTTAATGGGGGGGGGGGTTGAGTTCCTAATCCTAGAAGTTTTTTAGTTAATGCATTTCATTTATGAAACTTAATTATTTATAATAATATACGGTAAGTACAAATTATATTGTGTTAGTATTTTTATATACTTTAATACCTTAAACATATGAAAATAATATCGTGAGATTACAAGTTTTGTTGACRTTTGATATGTACCGTAAATATGTCACGAACGGTTTACATCGACTTATAACCTCTTCCAAATATTTGGTCCAGCTACGGCTTTGTAAATAATAAAAGATTTTTTTACTAAACWATTGAAGTGCAAACATGCTCATATCACAATTTAACTGTTTAACCAGTTCGATAGTCTCGGAAAAAAAATATTATGTACGACAATGAGTCACTAAAAATTTGCGATAAAGTATAGGTGTGAGAAATTCAATTCATGTTTTTTCCGAAATGTGTATTTTACGCACATGCGTGAGTAACACTGGTTTGGAAAAAAAATAATGACAGTAAATAATTAATTCTRTTTTCTAATAAAATGTTGCGACTAGTGTAGCTGCATGTTTTTGAAAATTATATACTTGTATACCTAAGTTTTTCATATATTTGCGATGCTTACACGTTTCACTTGATATTTCACAATTCTCTCTCTCTCTCTCTCTGTATTGCGTAAATTATCACATATTATCCTCCAAAACAAAGTACAAATCAAAGGAAAATAATAATCTATTACGTGAACATTTTTTAAGAATAACCTACATAAAATATGTGAGAATTTATTGAAATTCATACTCTCAAAAAATATATTCAAAAATCATACATGTTTCAAAATGTACATTCACAAACATTATGGGACTGTACATTTCGATYAATCTTCAAAATTGATCAACTGAAAAATGCGTAATGCGTTATAGTTTCGAGATTCAGTATTCGAGCCGGTATAATAATATGATGGCAGTGTAGTAGTGTGTTTAAGGAATACATAAAACGAAAAAAGTTATTTATCGAAAAATCGTGGTCCTTGTACCTTCAGTCATAACGTTATAATAAAATAAAAAAATTTGTATTTTAATACCGTAGGAAAATTCAGGTTTGACAAAAAACAAATTGAAGTATTTAATGTTTTGTTTAACATAGAAATAGATATTGTGGCGCGGTGTGGTACCGTATCTTCAGTCACAAAAGCATTCTGAACCAGCGCTATAATTCCCGGATGGGTGAACACTCGRGGGATTTTAGTGACAAAATATTGTCTCACACATACGTGTTCCAAACAGTCCGTACAAATAACTATACAAATAGATACGTAACAGTTAAATATATTATACTATACGAGTATCAGAGACCCAAAAAAGAAAATGTCGTCTATAATAGGTAAATATATTTTTAAAAACGACATTCGGTCATGTATATCTATATGTCCGGTTAAGTCGTTMTCTGACGTTTTATATTCCTCTTTATATCTACCGTAATCGTATCTGCTGAATTCAAAAATCACAGCACAGTTCCGATGTCTGACATTAAACTATATACAGTATTATTGAATCGTCGTTGGGTGACATCAATCGCGATCAAACGATCAAACGATCCACTCACCAGTGCGTCTTTGTCCGGCCATCTCTCCAGGCCGTTCCACACGTATTCGTCTACCAAATGTTCCGGAATTTGGACGTCTGAAAACGGGGAACGGACCACTTTGGACTCGGTGCGATGTCGGACCGGATGACTAGCGACGTTGCAGCTGATTAACGGGAAGCACATCCGCCGCAAGTGGCCACGGCCCAAAATTCGGCTCCACTGCAGTCTTACCGGCATCATGGCGTGACGAGAATATTAAAAACAAGTCGGTGGCGTCGGGCGGAGGTCTTCACCTGAAACAATAACAACAAAAACAATTAGTAAACCGA